CAGGAGTTGAAGGTTGCTGTGAGCTGTAATGCCACGGCACTCTACCCAGGGGGACAGCTTGAGGCTCTGTCTCAAAAAAAAAAAAAAAAAAAAATGGATAAAAGACCTAAATTTAAGGCATGAAACAATAGAAATCCTCAAAGTAAGCACAGGAAAAACACTGGAAGATATTGACCTGGGGAAAGACTTCATAAAGAAGACTGCTGTGGCACTTGCAACAACAACAAAAATAAGCAAATGGGACTAAATTAAACTGAAAAGCTGTTCAGCTGAGGAGACAACCACCAAAGCAAATAGACAACCTGCACAATGGGAAAGAATATTTGCATATTTTGAATCAGACAAAAGCTTGATAACTATGCTCTATAGAGAACTCAAATTAATCCACATGATTAAAGTCAATAATCCTACATATCAAGGGGCAAGAGACATGAATAAACCTTTTCTAAAGAAGACAGGCGAATGGCTAGCAAACATGAAAAAATGCTCATCATCCCTAATTATTAGAGAAATGCAAATTAAAACCACCCTGAAATATCATCTAACCCCAGCTAGAATGCCCCACATCACAAAATCTCAAAACTGCTGATGCTGGAGTGGATGTGGAGAGAAGGGAACACTTTTGCACTGCTGGTGGGACTGTGGACTATTACAACCTTTTTGGAAGGAAGTATGGAGAACCCTTAAAGAACTCAAGCTAGGCTTGGCGCCTGTGGCTCAAGCAGCTAAGGCGCTAGCCGCAAACACCTGAGCTGGTGGGTTCAAATCCAGCCCAGGCCTGCCAAACAACAATGACGGCTACAACCAAAAAATAGCCTGGCGTTGTGGCAGGCGCCTATAGTCCCAGCTACTTGGGAGGTGGAGGCAAGAGAATTGCTGGAGCCCAGGAGTTGGAGGTTGCTGTGAGCTGTGATCCCACAGCACTCTACCCAGGGTGACAACTTGAGGCTCTATCTCAAGGAAAAAAAAAAAGAAAACTCAAGCTAGACCTCCCATTTGATCCTGCAATCCCATTACTGGGCATCTACCCAGATGGAAAAAATTCTTTTTATCATAAGGACACTTGCACTAGACTGTTCATTGCAGCTTAATTTACAATTGCCAAAATGTGGAAACAGCCTAAATGCCCACTCACCCAGGAATGGATTAACAAGCTGTGGTATATGTATACCATAGAATACTATTCAGTCATTAAAAAAGATGGAGACTTTACATCTTTGTATTAACCTGGATGGAAGTGGAACACATTATTCTTAGTAAAGCATCACAAGAATGGAGAAACATGGCTCAGTGGCCATAGCATAGTGATTTTGGTGCTAGCCACATACACCGAGGTTGGTGGGTTTGAACCTGGCTCAGGCCAGCTAAACAACAATGACAACTACAACAACAAAAGGCTGGACATTGTGACGGTTGCCTATAGTCCTAGCTACTTGGGAGGCTGAGGCAAGAGAATCGCTTATGCCCAAGAGTTTGAGGTTGCTGTGAGCTGTGACGTCATGGCACTCTACCCAGGGTGACATAGTGAGATTCTGCCTTAAAAAAAAAAGAGAAACATGAATCCTATGTACTCAATTTTGATATGAGGACAATTAATGACCTAGTACTTGGTGGGAAGTGGGGGAAGGGGAGAGCAGAGAGAGAGAAGGAGGGTGGGTGGTGGGGGGAAGGAAGAGCAGAGAGAGGGAAAGAGGGACCTTATGGGAGGAGGGGAGAGCGAAGGGGGGGTAGGGTTCTCAGTGTGTGACACTCCTTTTGGGGGCATGACCCAGTTATAAGAGGGTCTTTATCTAACAAATGCAATCAGTATAACCTGGTTTCTCATACCCTGAACGAATCCCCAATAATAAAAAAATAAAAAGAGATCATTTCATAGCCAGCTAAATGGAAAGAATAAAACACTTCCTGAAAGTGGAAGAGAGACAAAGCACTGAGGAACAATAATTTTGTTTGTGAAATCTCACACCAAACTAAAAGGCAATAATAAGGGAATATAAGACATTTTGAAATATACATGCACTTAGAAAATTTACTTCATATAGAAACACACAGAAAGCTTCTCAAGCACAGGATAGGATTTTCTTCATCCTGAAATCTTCAGAAACCAAAAGTATATCTGTCACATAGAAGCTCATGTTTAATTGATTGGTTGGTGGTTTGATTGATACCTATTTAATTGTCTTACAAAGTAAATATTGAACTACAAACAGGAGACAGTCAGTGGAGGAACACTTCTTTCCAAGTCCTTTATGTCTTTTCCATGTCAGGTAATGTGCCTGCATCAAATTGAGTGGGTGTGTATTATTACAGGGATTATTGTCATTCATGGATGTATCTGTGGAGTTCACTTGGGAGGAATGGCAGTTACTGGATCCTACACAGAAGTACCTCTATAGGGATGTGATATTGGAAAACTACAACAACCTGGTATCAGTGGGTAAGTGCAGCTTATCTATTTAACTTAGCTTGTGAGACATAAATTGCCATTCTAGGATTTCTGACATGTTTTTAGTCCCTATTTGGCCCTCCTAATTGTAATCTCTGCCCCTGTTCAAATGAGCCTTTTTGTTTTTTAGCTTCTGTTTCTTCCCTGACAGCTTGGTTCATTATCCTTTGTGATTTTCTGTTAACAGGCTATCATGACACCAAACCTGATTTAGTCTTCAAGTTGGAGCAAGGGGAAGAGCCATGGATAGTAAACACCAAAGTTTCCTGTCAGAGCTGTCCAGGTGGGTAAGTGAGAACCAGGAAGCTAAAAGGTGCAGAGCGAACTGTGGCTCCTTGAAGAGTTGTCACTTGCTTGGTATGTCACACTTCATGTTTTAGGGCTCTCCTTCTTTCCTTCCTTCCTTCTTTAAGCTCTGCTCGTGGTTTGCTTTCTGAGTTTGTTTCCCTCCTTCATATATTTGAAGGCTGTACAGGCATGAGGTCTTCAAAGGTTCCTTTTCCCCTCTTATGGGCTGACTCGTGCTCTTCTTACAGCCTACTTGTAGCTGCTTCTTTTGCCTTCCACAGTTAAATACCTTAGACTTTACCACTCGGAAACCTGGTCTCTCCCGTATCATTGAGTGATTTTACCCACATTGTGCTTCCTTTTTGAGTTGTCCAAGGAGGTTTGTTTCCTGATTTGGCTGTCCTATCCTATGTTGTGAGTATTGAAAAGCTTTTCCATTGTGAAGATTTAAGCTTTTTTCCCTTCAGTGTTAATGGCATCAAAATTGTCATCATCGGCTCGGCGCCTGTGGCTCAAGCGGCTAAGGCGCCAACTACATACACCTAAGGTGGCGGGTTCGAATCCCCAGCCCGGGCCCGCCAAACAACAATGATGGCTGCAACCAAAAAATGGCCAGGCGTTGTCGCAGGCACCTGTAGTCCCAGCTACTTGGGAGGCTGAGGTGGGAGACTCGCTTGAGCCCAGGAGTTGGAGGTTGCTGTGAGCATGATGCCGTGGCACTGTACCCAGGGGGATAGCTTGAGGCTCCGTCTCAAAAAAAACAAACAAAATTGTCATCATCTTCCTCTTTTTCTGTTGCACTTGAGTATTAGGTTTTTTACACCTTCAGGAAAGCTCCCCTGTGCTTTCTCAGTTTTAATTCTTTGTATCAGAAATGGGAAGGACCTTCTTCCTCAGTTTCTCCTAAATTAAAAAAATTTCTTTCCCCAGAGTCTTGCTCTTTTGCCCAGGCTAGAATGCAGTGGTGTGATCATAGCTCACTGCAGCCTCAAACTCTTGGGCTCAAGTCATCATGCTGCCATAGCCTCACAGTAGCCAGAACTATAGGTATCACCATGCCTGGCAAGATTTTCATTTATTTGTTTAGAGACACAGTCTCACTTTATCACCCTTGGTAGAGTGCCGTGGCATCACAACTCACAGCAACTTCCAACTCCTGGGCTTAAGCAATTCTCTTGCCTCAGCCTCCCAAGTAGCTGGGACTATAGGCACCCACTACAACACCTGGCTATTTATTGTTGCAGTTTGGCCAGGGTTGGGTTCAAACCCGCCACCCTCAGTATGTGCAGCTGGTGCCCTAACCCCCTGAGCCATAGGTGCCACCCTTCTTTCTTTTTTGTTTTGAGATAGAGTCTCAATCTTTTGCCCAGGCTATAGTGCCATGGTGTTAGCTAAGCTCACAGTAGCTCAGACTCATGAGTTCAAGTGATCCTCCTGCCTCAGGCTCCTCAGTAGCTGCTATAACATCCACCTAATTTTTCTATTTTTAATAGAAATGAGGTCTTGCCTCCCAGAGTTAGGATTATAGGGCTGAGCCACTGTGCCCAGTTTTTTAAATTTTTTCCATTTTGAGACAAAGTCTTGCTCTATTGCCCCAGTAATATCATCATATTATCATATTATCACTGCAGCCTCCTGGGCTAAACTCCTGGGCTGAAGTGATCCTCCTTCCTCAGCCTTTTGAGTAGCTAGAACCATATACATATGGTACCATGCTTGGCTGATTTTATTTTATTTTTTTCTTTGAGACAGAGTCTCACTCTTTTGCCCAGGCTAAGATGCCGTGAGTTACCCTCACAGCAACTGACTCATGAGTTCAAGTGATCTTCCTGCCTCAGTGTCCTGAGTAGTTCACCATAGCACCCAGCTACTTTTTCTGTTTTGAGTAGAGATATGGTCTTGCTCTTGCTCAGGTTGGTCTCAAACTCCTGAGCTCAAGCAATCCACCCACCTCAGCCTCCCAAAGTGCTGAGATTATAGACATGAGCCATCTTGCCTAGACTGGTGTTGTTGCTCTTGCTCAGGCCGCTTTTGACCTCCTCCCCTCAAGCAATCCTCCTACTTTGGCCTTCTAAAGTGCTGGGATTACTAGGCGGCGCCTGTGGCTCAGTGAGTAGGGCGCTGGCCCCATATACTGAGGGTGGTGGGTTCAAACCCAGCCCTGGCCAAACTGCAACAAAAAAATAGCTGGGCATTGTGGCAGGTATCTGTAGTCTCAGCTACTTGCAAGGTTGAGGCAAGAGAATCACCTAAGAGGTGGAGGTTGCTATGAGCTGTGATGCCTCTACCGAGGGTGACAAAGTGAGACTCTGTCTAAAAAAAGAATAAAGGCTCAGCTCAAGTGGCTAAGGCGCCAGCCACGTACACCCAAGGTGGTGGGTTCGAATCCAGCCCGGGCCTGCCAAACAACAATGACGGCTGCAACCAAAAAATAGCCGGGTGTTGTGGCGGGCGCCTGTGGTCCCAGCTACTTGGGAGGCAGAGGCAGAAGACTCACTTGAGCCTAGGAGTTGGAGGTTGCTGTGAGCTGAGATGCCACAGCTCTACCCAGGGGGACAGCTTGAGGCTCCTATCTCAAAAAATAAATAAATAAATAAATAAATAAAGTACTGGGATTACAGGTGTGAGCCACTACATCCATTTTCCCTATTTTTATTACCACTTTTTTTTTGGCCAGGGCTAGGTTTGAACCCGCCACCTCTGGCATATGGGGCTAGCACACTACTCCTTTGAGCCACAGGCGCCCCCCCATTACCACTTTTATTATACTTCTAATCTTATATCCTGGCTTCTGTGGCCTCACTTTGGATATCTTGTCTTCTTCCTCCTTTGTTAATCTTGCTACTGTTTCTGTTTTTATTAGTATTTTATCCTTTGAAAAGTATATTATAGGTCTTGTCTCTTCACTTGTCATCCACACTAGATCTCATGCTTGCTTAGATAGCTTAAGTTTTTAGTCATATTACAGAAATGTTATCTTCTCCTTAACCATTGCTGCTGGATTTATTTGCATTATCATCATAACACTAGTCTGAGAAAATAAGCTACTATCTTAAATCCCTGATTCAGGCAGAATAGAACAACAAGAAATTTTTATTCTCTGTAGGCCAGCTCTACAATGGCTTAATTCAGAAGGTTTATTATCTCAGGAATCCAGCTTCCATGTTCCCCTCCCCCTTGTTATCCTCAGTTGTTTTATTTGCACATTCATCTATTGTTTAATACCCCTTGTTATCCTCAGATGTTTTATTTACACATTCATCTTATTGTTTAACACCATTTATGTGCCAGCACTTAGTGAGTGCTGACCCTGGCTCTGCCTGCTTGCTTTCTCCATTTCGATGTTTAACTGAGAACTCAAATATAGTAATATCCAAAACAAAGTTTTTCTTTTTTCTCCAAACATGATTATCTCCCAGTGTTTTCCATAACTAAAGAGCAGTAGCACCTTGATGTTCAAGCTATTAACTGTTGTTAATTCTTCTCCTTTTCTCAGCTCCCACATTTAGTCCTTCAGTAAATTCTTGTAGTTCTTTCTCTAAATATGTTTCAAATTTCATTAACTCTAGAAGTTTGGTCCAAACCATTATTGTTTCCTCCTGGACTGCTGTAATAGCTCCCTAATATTTTTCTCTGCCTTTCTTTCACTTAATTTTTACGTAACAGCCAAATGGGTCTCTTAACAGCAGAAGAATCTTGGAGATCTCTATTAAAATCTTTGGATGGGGTCAGGCGCGGTGGATCATGCCCGTAATTCTATACTCTGGGAGGCTGAGGCAGCAGATCCCTTGAGCTCAGGAGTTTGAGACCAGCCTGAGCAAAGAGCAAAAATACTAAAAATAGAAAAATTAGCTGTGTGTGGTGGTGGGCACTGCAAATGTAGTCCCAGCTCTTGGGGAAGCTGTGGCAAAAGGATTGCTTGCCCAAGAGTTTGAGGTTTCTGTGAGCTATGATGATACAGTAGCACTCATTTTAATAAATACTAAAAAATAAAATCTTTGGTTAAAATGAATGTATATATTTTTTGCCACAACCTTGCATAATTTGTTTCTGGTTTCACTGTATTCACTCAGTGAGTTTTAGCTATTTTGTTTCTTAAACCACATCTAGCAGGTATCCTCAAGAAATTTATACTTAGTATTCCTTCTGTTTGGAATGTTAATTTTCTTAGGGCTACTTTGTTCTCATTTTAATGTCTTGTTGTCATCTTACCCAAATTTCATGGCCTAGTTATTCTATTTCCTATGAATTC